TATTATTATTATTATTATATTATTATTATATATATATATATATATATATATATATATATATAAGTCTACTTTTTAGAAGCAACTGCTTTGCTTTCAGTGCATGAGTTGGTTCACTTGTAGCTATTATTCTTTTCTATCGCTGCGTCCATATATATGTTGAAATGTACGCCTGCGTGTTGTTTATGATTCTAGTTCTTGTGACCAAATTTTGGTCATTCTTTATCAGTATTTATGTGTGTTTGACTAATATAGCATTTTGTTGAAACTCACTAACATCGTCAGAAGAATTTCTAAAATGAATAGCATTGCCTGGTTTCTCATACTATCGCTGACTGTTCAGCTATATCTCTATCTGCAAATAATCAATGGATGAGCAGTCAAAATGTTGGCGGCTTGCATATCTATTGTGTATATACGCAATACACTTACTTGAGCGCTATATATGTGAGGACGCTGGTTTGCGCCATATTTGATAGAAAATGACCCACTAACGTGAACCTTGAAAATGTGAAATCTACCAATATCATTAAACCTGCATTTGTGAAATCGGGCAAATTTTGGAACAAAATCCCGTATCTCCTGTCGTTCCGCCTTTGATCGGTAGATCTTGTGCTTATTTGTGACTGCGTATACATACTGGCATATGCGTACCATTCAAGAACAGTGCAGAGGCTTCTGTTTATCGCCAGCTTGTGATTTGTAAGGTTTCCGTCGAATATTTTGTGTTTCGAATTCTTCCGTGATACATACTATATCTGTGTGTGTTCTGAATGGGGCTTGGGTTTCTTACAAATAATTGACTCACGAGTGATGTCTGGCGTCCAGTGTGGAGCGCAGACTATGTCTGTACCGCCTCAATGCCAGCTGGACGCAATGCATAGAAGTCTCAATACGTTAATACATACTCTTTATGTACTGAGAGATTCAATACCAAACTCATGAGTCCTAGTTTTGATATCCATCAGTAACTAAGCCATCAGTGTAGATAGTGGGCTGAGATGTCGACACTTGTTAACGGGAATCCCGTTTACCTTTGCACCATCTGCGGGATGCCGGCCGAGTATGAGTGCCCTTGCGATACTGAACTGTATTATTGTACTGTTAAGTGCCAGGTGTGTAGTATATTATATACAGGAGTGAAGTTGTATAGGACTATATGTCTGTTTGTTGTGTATGCATTACCTGTAGATGAAAGTTGAAATTGTTGTTGAAAGTGGGCGGGTGGTACAAGAATTTGCCAATAGTTCACGGCAATACGTAGCAGCTTTGTCTTTCTATAGGTATACACGTACGTGCGTTTGCATATCGTGTTCATACTAATATACTTATTATCTGTACGTATGGTAATTGCTGATGCCTTGGCGCTTTGGCTGCTATCGGTTCTGCTCAGAACACCTACGAAGGTCTTACTGTCGATTGATCAGGGTCTCTAAAAATATTGCATTCAGCTTGCGCATCCCACTGTTGTCTATCTACAAATACACCTGTTGTTTAGAGTATATTGCTAAACGGCCAATACATACATTCAACTAAACTGTTGACGCTACTTCCGCTTCGACAGCTGAAAGCTTGGTACGATCTGAATCATGAGTTTGAATGTTCTACCAATCCAAACCGCAAACGCGCGCCCCCTGGCTGCCCCGAGACGGATTCAATAGTAGATCAACATGAGCACAAGCGCATCCGGATCAATTCAAATGTTCGCGGCGAAACTGAGCTTGTGCAGAAGTTTGAAGTACACGTGCAAGATAGGGGTGTGTGCGCGACTGCGGGAGCTGATAGCGACATAGAGAAAGTGCATACGACAGAAGCACATCCTAAGGCCGTCCGCTGTATACCGCCCGGTGCTGTGGAGATGGGACCAGAGCAAGTGAATGGCAGGCTTGCCGGTAGCGTACCAGGGTGTATACCTAATGGTAGCGATTCTCCGCAATCATCACACCATGGTGATGTGATTGAGCACAGAAATGCGATGAACGAGTCAAGCGACTCATCGTTTAAACACCGTACGGATACTCCTGGCGGTGAAAAATACACCTGTATGAGGAAAGGATGCGGTGAGCGGTATGAATCACGCAACGAACTGGACGCTCATCAGGCAGGCCACGTCATAGCCAATGTCGAAAAGCGACATCCCTGTTTAGATCGGAATTGTGGTGAAAGTTTTGATACAAATAGGGAGCGGCAACTACATACAAACACAAGGCACCCACAGCTAAATGTACCTGCGGATAATCTGTGCAAGTGTGGTTGTGCTAAAAAAAAAACTGCAATAGAGAGAAGTCGGCAGCATCAACGCATGCATCCTGACCAAACAGAACGAGATCGCAAACGCGAACTGGCCCAAAAGCACTATAGGGTATCTCGGGCCTATACGAAATTTGCACCGTTGTGGCCTCAGAAGTGCCTGATCGATGATTGTGGGAAATGTATGGTTGATTTGGAGGATTCGATCCGCCACCGACGTACCGCTCATAATGGATCAATATGTAACTGGATGGGCTGTGGATTGTTCTATGTGGGATCGTGGGATGATCACTTTGAGGAATATCATGGTTATCCAGCGCTATGCTTTTACCACCATAGATGCCCGTTCAGTGGTTTCTCGGAGGAATCTATGCATTACTTCAACTGTCACACCGGCTTTCATGTATGTCTGGTTTGTGGTGCAAAAATGCCTAGCAAGTCAAATCTCGCTAAACATAAACGCCTTCATAAGGTAGACGCGCAATGATCCACACGAAACAACTGTTATCTTTTAGGACTTGACTTAAACAGAATTAGGACCTCAGCAAAAATGTGGGCGAGCTTAGTGCAAGCGGTAATGTGAGATTTCACACACGGCCTCGGTGCCAGTCGGTTTGAACTGGTGCAGAACTAAACCTAAATACTCGCATAATAGTAATTAAAGCAAACTTGTAGAATACTTTCAGGCACGGAACCCTCCTTTTTTTTTAATGGTGTTCCATTGATCAGCGACGGATTTAAGTACTTTGTCACTGAAATAGTCATGGGACCAGCGGTAACACCATTGATGTAGATACTATCATTTGCGGGTGTTAATATCACCGCTAAATTGCCTCTGGTAGCTACTAAAACGACTGTTTATGCTAACGAGCGAATAGTCGGTCTCGCCCGAGTTGAAATATTATCAAAACGCTTTGAAACTTGTCGGTTACCATAGATGCGCACACCTCCTGACTTCCCTGTTCTAAGTAGGAAACCTTTTTATTTGCACAGCAAAAGAAAGTATCTTGACTATGACTTCCCATGTATTGTATTTTTTGTGATACAACTCTGCCAACTGTACTTTCACCTGGACATTTCACGAATCAAATTTGACTACATGTCACGCCCCCTGCATACCGAACATCCAAAGTCAAACGTCCTATCCTCTCCCAGCTTTCGATTGCTATTGCATACATCGTTCTGATTATTAAAGAGCATATTTTTTATGCTTAGTTATCCATTTATTCGAAGCACTCTGAAATAATACAACGCCCGAACGAAGATCAGATTTCACCTAAGGCAGAGAGCACAGTTCGCTGCAGACATGTCTCTTTTTTTCTCCGAAATCTGTTTGTCAACCTAAAAATTTCTATTTCCAAACGATACAAGAACAATTTTACTGTATTTGGTGGCTATGCCGAGTGACAATTTAATTCTGGGAGAGATGAAAATAACGCTACCTATTGTGATACCTTAATTGAAGTTGATCCGCTCCTCGGTATATGTGGACTCGTTATATTGGAAGTTGTCCAATATCAAATCGCAGTTGAAAGATGGGTTGATTATGCGTCGACCAAATTTGCGATAAACAATTCTTGATTAGTGCTACAATT